GTCTCCACCTCTCTTGATACCGTGTATAACTTGTCCCGTAGCTTGCTTTTACCCCCCGTGAAATTTTATGTGGTTTGCACCTTTACTTTGTGTCAGCTGATATTCGCAAGTTCTTTGTTGCACATGATGAGCCACTTGTAAGGAGGTCCAATACATCCTTTCGAGTTCTCTTGGAGCCCACCTCATCCAAAAAAAACAAGGAGTGAATTGGGCCAAGTCTGACTGAATTTGCCCATTCAAAAGCCTACTCAATTGACTGAATTGCAAGTGCGGTACAGTCGCCTGATATGCAGACTGGATCAGGTTTTCTAACCACCTCAATTCACTTCTGTATACAAAAGAGCTGGTCAGGTATGTAGGAACTACGTGTGGCTTGAGGTGGTCGAACCTCCTCCGGGGGGGATGTTTCAATTGTGGCTTGAATGCGACGCCATAGCACATCAGATAAATCGAAAGGTCCAGTCTTCTTGTGAAAGATGATAAAGGATTTTGAATGGGCGTATTCAATATGATCGAGTCGTTTACTGGTCATGGTGTGAGAGACGGTAAAAACCAGCTCCCAGCCTTTCGAACGGTGACCCCATTGAAAGGGGCGCCCACCTGATTGTGGGTCGTGACTTTAGGGCTCAATGATGTGAAGGGACGGCCGGAAGTAGATGGTATCACCAAGATGCTCTTTACGTTGGTGAACAGCCTGATGGACGAATAGCCTTGTGCAAAGGCAGGTTTACAATGCCAATAGTATCAGCGGATGGTGATTTGGACGTGATTCTGACGGGAGCTGGTCAAAGAACCTGGGCGTTGTATAGGCGTGCATTGTCCAAGTAGTCCGCTTTTTTTTTTGGCATGGCCAGTCCATTAGTCGAGTGCTCAGGACGAATCCTGCGCGCGAATGAATGCAACTCCGCGCAGCTGAAGAACATCAAAGATCTCCATTGAAAACGTATTTCTGATAACGCTGTCGAGTGAGTGAAACAACGCGATGGATTTGCAAAAGCTCCAGACCGTCCAACAGAGCGGCCGCGGTGATCTGAGCTGTAGGGCAGTGGGGCGATGTTGGTTTGCCCCATGTATTCTCGTGTGCCGGTTACACGTCCAAGGGAAATGAATTCCGAGGGGGAGTCCATACGCTTCATACACTTTCGAATGAATGCAAGGAGGTTCCCATTCAATTTTTTTGGGCGAATGTACCATCACGGCAGAATTGAAACCTCACATTCAAATTATCATACTGGGTGATAGATGAGCACATATAAAGGCAGAAAGCCACTCCTATACATCCTTCAGCACCCCAGAAAACACTCATATAAACGCACCCACCTACTCGACCTACTTTGCCCCCAATCCAGATCTAGCCCACGACTCTGAAAATGAACGGTGCGTCTTGGCCTTCTGTCCCCCCTGCTCGGACGAGTCACCTCGACTTGGATCAGCTCACCACCCCCTCCCTTTCCCTTGCTCTCGTCCTAGCCCGACATCTCTTGTCTCATCGCTAATTCGCTATCCTCTAGTCCATGTCATCGGTGGTTTTCCTGCGCCCTCGTGGAACCAGGCCCTTATCCCGGCCAGACCCCCTCCCCGTATGCAACCACAACGATACAATCTCCCCTGGGAGCCATATCCTGGCTACAACATAAATGACCTCTTCGACTTGAACACTCTGGGCATGTCGCCTACCCAAGCTGACGTCGTGGATTCTTCAACCGAGATTGGAATGGTGCACGACCTCTCGAGCTATGCAGTCCCCACAAGTCCTCAGATGCAATTTAGCAGCAGTAGCACCACGACCTTTGCCACCTTCGACTTTGGCGACCCTCCTTCCAGTGATGCCGGATCTCCCGCGAGTGACACTGTCATCAATAGCGGTCGCTACCAATGTGATGTTTGTGGGCGACGGTACTTTCGCCAAAGCAGACGAGACGCTTGCCAAAACGGTCATAACAAAACTCGGCCACACGGGTGCAGGGGTGAATGCGGCAATGAAAATTGGTACGTCTGTCTCGTGACTCTAGTCACCCGATCCATCTAGTGTGGGTGGTGTTATATTTGTTTGCTGATGATGTGAATAGCAACAAGGCTTATCAGTCCATCGAGCACCTGCGAAGACACTGGCAACCTGATTCGAAGCGTTATAAATCTTGCAGTAAATGGTGCGCATATGAAATCACTATACCTTGCATATATATATTCTTTGACATCTACTGATAACCCTTTCCTTTGCAGTAACAGGTCATTTACGTCCCAAAACATCGCCCGGCATGAAAAGTCATGCAAACAATGATATAGTTCCCGCACGATCGCCTGTCCTGTATTTTGTACCCTAATATATGTGTTTCCTTCCACAAAACAAATGTTGTGTGCCTAGCTAAGGTGGGCGGTGCACGATAAGCAGAATCAACAACATCGTATGCTAGCTGCTAACACCAAGGCATACTTGGCGTCATCTTTCGAGCATTCCTTGAGCCTTCAAGATATTCAACGAGAGTTTTGTTTGGATGACGTTGCCCCCAGGCGAATAACATGATTGAGCTCAGCCTTGACTCATGGAAGCATGTCAAACTTGGGCGAAACTATGCACAGCGATGTGGCTGTTAGTCTCGTATTCATGGGAACTTGTTAACTGAGACCAGTAATTTCTAGGATGACATGAAAACTGGAGGAAGGTGAAGAAGACAAGGGTAGCGTGGTGCGCAAACTGACCGCTATACATTTCTATAGTCAACGGGCCCATACAAAAGCTTATTATCAGCCGCAAACGAAATTCACTCATGACACACCACTTTTATGCAACTTCAAGGCCAATTGTAGAGGTCCTGTGCACTCATATACTGCTGTGTCATCCCGGAAAGAACGGGAATATGACAAGTTGTGGTTTCGCGACACGTATGAATGAACCCTCTGATAGAAACGCACCGCTACAACTTCTAGTTAAGGATAAATAAACGAGGCATTTATTTGATACCGTGTATAACTTGTCCCGTAGCTTGCTTTTACCCCCCGTGAAATTTTATGTGGTTTGCACCTTTACTTTG